TTTTTCATGTACTTGTAGGTAAAATGTATGTCCATCAGATAAATATAAATCCATTTACTTATTTAATATAGAATTTGACCCCTAAATAATGCCAAACTTTAACATGGACCATGTAATGTTGTATCTTGCGTGTAGAAACAACTTTGAGGTCAAACGGTGAAGTAACTATCACCACATTTTCAAAAGCTATGATGTTGTCTTTCAAAACTGTGATTCTTTCTTGGGAATACTTGGGTTTCTAAGTCATGTACATCATTTATTTTACGAAATCCTCTCAAATATTACAAAAGTAGCAAATAAAATAAAAATTCAAAACTTTGCTCTTAATAATCCAAACGTATACATGCCTGCTATTGGATTTTACTTGTTTACCATGTGTTTTACACTCGACAAGGCAATAACACTATCCGTCCACTGTAAAGCACGGTTAAAATTGACATGTGTCCAAATATTTGCCTAGTGTTTTTTTTTGCCATGTTTTTTTCCCCCACAATAGAACACTCGGGAAACTTTCAATATGCTGAGTGTCTATTTTTACCGAGTATTTTACAACCACACTCCGTAAAGTTGTGTGTTTGCTGAGTGCCCAATAAAGTGCACTCAACAAACTCGTCGATTCCTATAGTGGTAAATAAAAAAGAAGGGAGCATTTTCCAGGGCCGTGTCTTCAAATGTAAGGACCGACAGGAATACTACGCAGTCTGATGATTATGTATTGATTAATAATTCTATATCACAATGGATTGTGTTCCTTTGTTAACTATTACAAGAGGCTTGCATCTTAAACAAATAATAAAAATAATAAGGCACGGTTATTTCCCTCTATATATGATAAGTTGAGTCATTCCGCCATTGTGTACGTACCAAGTTATTTATTTTATGCATAATCATAGGGAATCATCGGGTATTCAGGCGCCGTGGGTGGCATTGGCCCATGGCAAGATCCACCGTCAATTTCTTATTCTCCATCTAACGATTAGCCATTATGTGCTCATTAGCGCTTTGGTCGGCAGAACACTGAGACTGCTCAGCAAGCAGAGCAGACGGATAGGTGTCATAGTTTAATAAATCGAACTGGTGAGGTTGTCGGTTCAGATTTTTATTGGTCGGGCCATCAGTTCATCGGTTCATTTGCGACCAAAAATCAAAATACTAAATGTATTTTCTCAAAATTTTGACCTCACATCAAATGAATACACATAATTTTGGATGCAAATCATTAATAATTACAAATTGTTATTAGCCTAGTTGCTTATTGGGCCTTTAGCATGCCTTGCCTGAAGGTTAGCTGTTTCATTCCTCGTTGATGCACCTTTTAAAATACTTTCTGGTTTTTACTAATGACCAGTACACCTTAAAAAACCAAGCAAGACGAAAAACCACGCAAGACGCTGGTCCATGGTTTTTTCGGTCGGACCGCCGGTCTGGTCTAGTTTTTAAAACTATGATACGTGCTGGTAGTCGTAGATAGGATGCATACCTCTTAAGTTTTGTCTTCTTCCTCCTCCTACAGTACAGCAAACCAATATCAGTTTTCCTAAGTTAAAAAAATACTAGTTCTCATTTACGTGTTTGAAATAAGATCTCGCATGCATCCATGTACGGGTTATTCTCTCCGGTGATGAAAATTTTCCTTGTTCTTGTTTTTCTTTCCTCCAATGATTTTTTTTCCATATGATGATGTTATTCATTGCTGCAGCCTAGCACTACTTTTTCCATCTCCTATCCTCTATCCATCGATGTACCATATTCATGCCATTTCGTACAGTCCTACTAGATCATTTCTATAACCACATTGTCTTAGCATACTCTTATTGCAGAACGAGGAGCGCATCGCACGATACAGATCCAATGCTTATGAATCGAGGGGTGCCACACCTGGTAGACATCAAATCCTCACTCTATTTTTATTCATATAACATTATATTGACAGAAAAATAAACCATACAACAGTACACATACAAATACCCTGAGGTCCGGAACACCAAAAGACTCACGCAAGATACAATTGCAGATAAGAAAAAGAGACCAAAGGTTACATTTCTCGCTTCTTCAACTTCACCAGGAGTCCATTTTTCATCGGCAGCACACAAGACATCTTCGGCTGGACTCTCTGCCCTTCAACCACTTCCACATCAAAGTTCCACACCATTGCCGCAACAATGGTATTCATCTCCATTAATGAGACGTCCTTGCCAAGGCACAGCCTCGGGCCCGAGCTGAATGCCAAAAATTTGTGAGACGGCGCGTACCGCAGCTTCTTGCCATCCTCTGAGAGCCATCTATCCGGGTTATACTCCCGGCAGTCTTTCCCCCACACGCCTTCCATTCTCCCCATGGAGTGGAGAGAAATTAATAAGGTGTCAACGGCGTGTACCACATGGCCACTCGGCATCACGTCGTCAGC